TGTTTAGAGGCGACGCTATGACGCATGCGTGTAAAAAAAAAATGCGGTTAGAGTAAATGTCAAATGTCAGATGAAGTCTCACCAGAAACAGCAGGAGCTCGAAGCGTCCTCAGAACCTCAAAGCTAAAGAATGAGGACTCTGCAGCTGATCGCTCTGCAAAGGTCTCACACCAAATGCGGTTAGAGCTTAAAGATGGAAACGCGAAAACGGCGTTTCAAAATCTTCCCACTCTGAGGGCTTAGTAAAAAAAAGATCGTTTACAGACCCCCGAAACGCCGGCTTCGTATGGATGAGAGGCTGGTTTGGTGAAAAATTTGTGCGTTTAGGCCAGGGTTTGGCTTCGTGTGGACGGGGCCTTCAGACTGCTCTCTTCACACCTGCTCCCAGTCTGCTCGTTAGTCCTCTATTTGTTGAGTTAGCCATAAGTTCTCTCCTTGTGCAGTTCCTCAGTGCTAGTTCCTTGTCAAACTTCCTTCAACTCCATCTTACTTTGTCTTCCTTGTTGTGACGGTTTTCCCCTTTAGTCTCCATGATTTCTGGTTTGTTTAACTTTTTTCATGTTAGATTTTTGGATTCCTGCCTCAGTTGTCAGTTAACCTTTCATTAAATCTACAAGAATCTCACCTCTGCCCCCCTGCCTCTGCATTTGGGTCCTTAAACCACAACCAAATCCTGGCATAATCTGTTTTAGTCTACTAAAACTTAAAGAGGTTTTAGTGTAGTTTTAGTCAGTTTTATGTCGCGAAAAAGTGAACCTTTACAATCTCGAACTACAACCAGATACTTTAGCAGATGGACAGATCTATCCTAGATTCTACAATAGCTGGGTATAGAATGCTGCAGTCCAGTTCATCATTGCTGTTGGGCAGAAAACCTCAATTTATAGAATTCAAATAAACTTTTTTTATGAATTAATGTCCTACTTTATAAAAAAAAATGTCTGAAAAAAGTTGTGAAAATAGCAGATCTAGTTCAACACAACATATTGGTTAATATAGCAGACAGACAAACAAAATGTAAAATAAAGGAATGGTTTTAAACATGCAAGGTTTCCATCCCAAAGCAAACACTTCCTGATCTACTATGAATTATACATTAGAAACAGATCAATAAAATCAAACATTCTTTCTACTTTGGCAATTTTGGTTTTATTTGTTCACTTTGAAAGAGAGAACCTACATAATTGCCTTGCAATGCCATGCCAATCCAGACGTAAATTGGATTAATATGCTAACTAAAATGTTGAAATACTTAAATGAAACAAAGAAAATACTTAAATGACAATTCAAGGAAACATTTACATCATATTGGAATAGATGGAAACAAGAACAATGACAGAGAAATATTCAAAGATCCATGTACCTTTTCACCGGGCTCTTTATCCAAAAATAAACAGAATGCAATGAAATATTTGGTTTGGATATAATTAAGGAATTCCTTTTGGTAGAGCTTAAAGAATGTTTAGCATCACCTCTTGTGAGCTGGACGAAATAAAATCCTAATAATTAGACAAAGGGATTGTTTTACGCTCTGCAGAGGATGATCAGCCACAAAGTTTATTAAGCAGCGAGAGCAAGAAGAGCCATACTGCTGAGAGCGAACCATCAGAGCAGTTTTTCAGAGTTCAGCGCCCAGTAGCGGTCTTCTGTCAGACACCTGGACCATTCTGGATTTATTTTCGATGATTTAACGTCATGAAAAAAGGAGCGTCAACGAAATAATTTTGTCATCTTCATCGTTGACAAAAACACTGCAGACAGGAGGATTACGTACAAATAAATTGATGGCTTGATAAAAAAAGAAACAGA